GATTTTGTGATTGCGACGCTTAACATTCTTGACGCAATAGCTTGTAGGGTGTCTTTAACTATCTTACTTATCTATGAGTGAGGGATTCAGAATTGAAATGCCAAAGAACGAAAGCTTTCCCTCTGTATCTGAAATTTTTTTATATATATTTTTGCTGCGTTTAGTCTGATTAGAAAAAGTTGGTTTTCATATTACAGTGGACCTATGTCAGAGTAGATGGAAGACCATGCGGGATACCCATCGTAGGAACCTCAAAAGAACTGTTACATATTAAATAAAAGATGTGTAAAATAAAATAAGTGTATTCTGAAATGAATCCTAAATAACAATGATTGTAAACAAAAACAAAGTTAACTTATTAAGCATAACATATGGTATTTTTTTAAACATACAGTATGTTAGAAAAGACACATCAATTTTGAAAAAAACAACAACCGGTTCCCCGGCATTCACTAAGGGGAAGTCAGCGGTTTTTCGTTCTCAATTTTATTCATATGGGGGAACGTTGGTTCACTTGGGTACCATTTAAGAAAAAATACTATTAGGCCTATGAGGTTGAAACTTTTACCACACACTCTTTATAATATTATGAAAAAGATGTTCTACAACTAAAGTCATAGCTAACAAAACAAAAAATATATAAAAGTTTATTAACAAAAAAATTATTATTATTTTTTTCCTCCAAACCATAATTTTAATTTGTTTGTCATAATTCTAGGTCATTTTCATTTCAGCATAGCTATGTATGACCAAAAAAATGTCAAGTGAATAGGAGTAACAGTTTGTGAGATAAATGTACCTATGTATTGGTAACCTAGGTTACGGGAAAACACATATTTAGTTAAACATGTTAATTTAGCCTACCTTTCTAAAATCCTCCAGGCAAATAGTCATGTTTCTCTACCCCCACCTATTCCTTTGACTTATTCAATAATCTCCTTCTGATCCTCTTCTTCTTGTTCTGTTCTTTGGTTTCTTTTTCGGCTTTTAATATTCTCCGTCAATCGATTAATTGTAGGCCTTCAACCATGAACTTCCCATGATTGATGCCTAACCTTTGGAAAACGTCCACTTAGGATATGGATCCTTCATTAAAGCAAATGACTGCATCTATGACTCCTAGTTTTAGAGTGTTTAAACTAACAAAGTCAGTTTTAGGGACTCTCCTCCAAAAACAGTTGTTAAAACTCTCGTCGGGTTTTGAGTCTTCCCGTGTAAACATCGTTCGAGAAGTTTTTCATCCGTCAAGTTGTCATATATGGGTTTAAGTTTATAAGTCTAGTGCCGGGCCTCTTCACACACGTGCCCGACACATTCTAGTTTTTTTATCTCTACATTTTCACCATAAGGTTTGCTTTCTAGAACTGAAACAAAGCCCTTGGAGTCTCCGTCTCCTAAATACCTTGTGTATCGTACACCAAGTTTCGCTTCCGAACGTCACACAAAAGTTTAGCCCCAGCTACCTCCATCCCGCCACTTGTCCCTTCGTAATTTGCTCCACATACTTTCTTGTGCTGTTCAAGTTCTTCAAGGTCCCTTAGGCCTAGGCCTTGTTGATTTCTGGAGCATGTGATACAAAACTTGGAGAGACAGTGAAAATCTAATACTTTGCCGGTGTCAAAGGACGTGACTGTCATTACGCCATTCCGAGACGAGTGCCCACGCTTCTGCCACGTACCACCAAACGCAGCTGCAATGTCTTTGTTGTTATCATTAATTTCAATTAACTCAATGGCAGCATTACGCATTGATGCCACAGACATCAGTAGCAGCTGGCAATATTGTATTATAGTAGAGCTGCAGTCTCGTGTTTGGTGAGGTCAAGTTCATTATCGCAGAAAAGGTTTTTCCTGCCTCTGTTCCCCTACCTATAGATCTAAGGGCGTATGCATGCCTGATATTCAACTCCGACTTATTGATAAACTATTTAAAGATGTTTGGCTAGATTTGCAGGTATTACATTCAATAATAATCCTATGGCACAAACCATTCTGATAATTTTCATCAATACGCAAATGAATGCAATCCGTATTGGAGCATGTATTACAACTGGTAAATCCTCTAACTAAACTGGATAAGATGGGTACACTTACAACTCAGGCAGCCGATGCGGAAGGAGCTCGCTATCTGATCGTCCTTTGCCCGGTCCTGAGCGTCGCATACACCGTGACTACATGCTAGAATATCGTTACAAACTGATATTCCGAGTTTTCTGATATACCTTACTTAAAAATATTGCTTAAACTATGACCGAGAAGTGTGTGAAGTGCAATGTGGAGTGCAATGTGGACGGGTCTGATGCTGTGAAGTGCTCGGAGTGCGGCGATGTGCTACACGTGGCCTGTGCGGGACTGAACGTGCAGAGGAAGACGCGAAAAAATAATCAGTTCAAGTGCGACAAATGTAAAGAATCGGCGGTATCCATTTCAAGTGCTAGTGACAGTGAGGAGTCGTCGCTACTTAAAGCAATAAATAGTTTGCGCGCCGATTTCACCGATACACTTGGTAAAAAACTCTCAGAAATGGAGAAGAAGATAAATGAATCGATCCATGGTAAGCTTAACGAAATAAATGACAAAATTAATTCGTGGCAAGAGACAGTAGTAACGTCAATAACAGATCTTAAATCTGAAAACGAACTGTTAAGAGTGGAGTGCGGCGTGCTCAAATCACGGTGTGATGACCTGTCCAAGCAGGTCGGCACTTTGACGGAAGACCTTCAGGATCTGCAACAATATAGCAGAATAGACAATCTAGAGATCGTCGGAGTCCCCCTGACTAAGGACGAGGATGTCTACGCAGTGCTGCAAGCAGTCGCCAACGCTATAAAGACGCCATGGAGGCGTGATGACATCTCTATCGCGCACCGAGTACCTTCGAGTCGCCAGCGCTTCCCCAACATCATCGTGCGCTTCATCAGACGGACTGCCAAGCATGCATGGATCAGCGCAGCCAAAGATCTACCAGAGAACCTGACAGCCTTCATGGTCCACCGAAGCTTCCCCAACTCACCTGTATTCATTAACGAACACCTGTCAGCTCATAGTAAGGCAACTTTAAGCCACGCCAAGACATTAGTTAAAGAAAAACGTTTAGCATATGCATGGGCGAAGGAGGGTAAAATCCTTGTGAAGAAGACACCGAACGAGAAAGCGAAACGAGTGAAGAACGTCGAGGAGGTGGAGGCGGCAGCGGTGGCGGCAGCGGGGGCGGCAGCGGGGGCGGCGGCTCAGCAGCAGTCCAGCGACAAAGACAATGGTGAAGCAAAGGGACCAGTGTGAAGATCGCCAAGAAGTTTAAAAAACAATATCATGCTGTAAATATCTTAAGGTATATATCAGCCACATTAATATTAACTTATCCACTTATATTTTTGCACGCACCAAGTTTTACTTATATTCTAGGTATTTGTTTATTTATTTATATAAATTATTTTCAATCTAAATTTTTTTACTAAGATCATTGCCTATTCATATATTTCTTGTTTACTAATTTATAAGCTAGGGCAAAAGAGAAATATTTTTGGCATTTTAACCATTTAATTTTGAAAGTTTTAATAATGTAATACCTTAACTCAATCAATTTAATAATGTAAATTAAGTGTTAATGATTTCAATTCAGGAAAATATATACAATTATTTTGCAAGGGCATGAAACAATTATTTATAAAAACAATTCATTAAATTTAAGGGGATCCGCCACCTTTAAATGGCCAATTTTTAAATTTTTTTTAATTTTCCAAATGTGTTATTTTCTTATTCTACATACTTTTCTGAGTATGTGTGTAGATTTTTATGTAAATCTGATTATTTTTTCATACAAAAAGAAATGAAATAAAATATTGACTCAGCTACGCCAAATATAAAAAAACCCAAATTTTTTATTCTAACATTTTATTTTATTTTTTTTTTTATATTTTTGCCATATATATGGCCCATAATAAAACAGGCATTTCTTTTATAGAATAAAGAAACAATGAAATATATATATATATATATAAAAATTAAATTCATGTACATACAGTCTATGTACATAATGAAGGGACAATATCTTACTGCCTGTCTGTAAGTGTTTATATCTCAGCTGTTTCTGTCATCTGCTGCTGCTACATACTGTTATTGTAGGTTATGTTGTATTGCTGTGACATTTACTGAAAGTTTACACATTACATTGATTATTAGTACATTATTATCACAGTTTTTATTCTGTGGTATTATATTATTGTTAGTTTTATGAGTGGACTGAACATGTAGTGCAAAGTGATTTCAAACAGCTATTTTGGTAGAGCTTCTAAGTAAATTATTGAATATCTTTATATTTGGTTGTTCTGTGCTAATTGAACCCTAGGTCTGTGAAGTTTTGACCTGAACATGGGTAGGGTGAAAGCAGGAAGAGTAAAAAAATCCCTTCAGTGTCGCAGGAATATGTCAAAAAGGTGGATAAAAGAAACTGATATAGAAAAATGTGTAGGCTCAAGTATTAGTGAAAATGAGGTTAGGCCTAGGCCTATTTGTACTGATAATGATAATGTAATACCTGGCTGTAGTAACAAGGCTCCAAGGATTCATAGTTCTTTTTCTGAAGAATGTATTGACAATGAAGAAGTTACCCCGGCGAAACGGCCTAAGCCTACTGGGTTTGAACTTGTTGCCTCATACGGACCCGTTGGTAAGACAGATACCTATGACATTGCACCAGCCTATAGCTTCGTAGATATGACAGTTCTTTCTAAATTCCTAGAAGATCTGCCATGTAAGTATTGCTTGGGCATAAATTGTAAGGTAACTATTACTAATGTCTTTGGATTCACGCAGAAGATTTCTGTACAGTGCAGTTCATGCAAAGAAATAAATAGTTTTCTCACTTCCCAAAGAATTCACCATAAGGACAATGTAGGTTTTAGAAAAAATCCATTTGATGTAAATAGGAGGATAGTGAAAACCTTTGGCTCGATCGGTAAAGGACATATGGCAATGCAAACATTTGCCATGTGTATGAATATGCCTTGTTTGCATCATTCAGCATTTGACAAACATATGCAAATATTAGTCAATGTCTCAAAACAGTGCTCTGAAGAGACTTTAAAAAATGCTAGGGTAGAGGTAGAGAAGGCACACAGTGACACATTAGACATTGTCAAACCTATAGATATAGGTGTTAGTTATGATGGCGCTTGGCAGAAAAGAGGTTTCACGTCCAAGTACGGAGTGGGCTGCGTAATTGAAGTCGTTACTGGCCTAGTTATAGATTATGTTGTTCTGTCAAAATATTGTAGAATATGTCAGCGGAAAATATCTGAACTTGGAAGAAACTCTCCTCAGTTTAATGAATGGTTTGCTATTCACAAGCCAAAATGCCAAGCCAACTTTGACGGTTCCTCGCCAGCAATGGAGACCGAGGCGGCAGCAATCCTTTGGAAGCGGTCGGAAAACCTTGGTTTCCGTTACATTAGTGTAATTTCCGATGGAGATTCAAAGGCTTTTGACCACATAAGTTCTCTGAATGTGTATGGAGAAAATGTTACGATTGACAAACAAGAATGTGTCAACCACGTGGCGAAACGTTTGGGTACTGCTCTTAGGAACCTTGTTAAAGATTCTAGCAAGGTGAAGATAACACTTGGCGGCAAAAAACATGGTAGCCTAAAAGGAAAAACAATAGACAAACTCTGTCAATATTATAGGAATGCCATAATCAACAATTTAGACAACACTGATAAAATGAGAGAGGCAATTTATGCAACTCTGGACCATTGCAGGTCCTCAGATGATGAACCGCGTCATGATAAATGCCCGCCCGGAAGTGACAGTTGGTGTTTTTACCAAAGGGACCTATACAATAAATTGAAACCTAGAAGACATTCTGAGGGCATAAAAACACCACTGAGTGAAGCTGTCTACAGCCGCATGCTGCCAATATACGAGCGACTTTCTAACGAGAAACTCCTCAAAAGATGTTCGTTGGGCAAGACTCAAAATGCAAACGAGTCTCTTCACAGTGTCATTTGGTCTAAATGCCCAAAAACCACCTTTCAAGCTAAGAGAAGGCTTGATGCAGCAGTTGGAGAAGCAATCAGTGTTTACAACGAAGGCTATTTTACATCTATGACAAACCTCCTTGAAAAAGCTGGTGTGTCACCTGGAATGAATACTGCAGTCCTAGCCAAGAAAAAAGACTCCCATCGCTTGAAGTTACGGAAGGCAAGGGAAGCCGACAAGTACAAGCAGTATAAGAAACTGGTGAAGGCTGCCCAGATTGAAGAAGAAGAGAGGAAGATAGAAGAAGAAGGGACGATGTATGGTGCAGGAGATTTTTAATGTGAGTACCAGTATCGAGCTTCCCTGAGTAAGCCTCAACTTTAAACTCTGTTTCCCAAAAGTTGGATTTTCCGTGTTTCTTGGTACAAAAATTTGAATAACTTCTAAAGTATATTATATAAAATTATGAAATTTTTACCACTATTTCATTGTTATATTACCAATATTTTGTCTTATGGAAAACACTCTGACTTTAAAACTAACTGTGAAAAAAAATTATAAATAAAAAAAAAAACTATAAATATTATGTGTTTTTAATTGTTTGTAACTTTTTTTCTAGCAATTTTATCTTATTTTCCATAAGACAAAAGTTTCTTTAAGCTATAAGGAATAAAAATTAAAAAAATCAAGCCAATTGGTTAAAAAGCAAAAAAGTTATTTAAAGTATAAAATATATGTAAAAAACGTAAAAAAAACGTTAACATTTCAAATTATAAGATACTTAAAAGGGTTAAAAAAATAATTTTACCTGGAAACCTTATTTCTAACACTAATAAAACAAGCAAAAATGTTATTAGCAAAATTCACTTAAAAAATAAAAAAAATCATATTTAAGGTGGCGGATCGCCTTAAATTCATATTTAGTTTTATACAACAAAAGAAAAATGAATTGCACTTATTTATTATGTTAATTGCTTTATTATATTTATATTAATTTTTTATATATATTTTTTATCATATTTATTATATTAAATTTGCAAGTGATGAAGAATGCAGCTGATAGGTAACTTTTATTTGTGATTGATAGTTAAAAACAGACATTATGGGACGGAGGGACTGGGTGGGGTTTTTCAGGGGCGTATAGGGTTTTGTTTTGTTTTAATCTTAAATAGCACACAAGTAATTTGTTTATATTTTTCCCATAAGGAGACATGGATGATTCTAATTTGTTATTTGATCAATATAGGCAGATAGACTGTACAATAGTAGATAGGTTTAAGGACATAAGTTCTGTTTTTAAAAGTAGTTCATTCAACTTTTTATACATGAATGTTCGTAGTTATAATAAAAATTTTGATACACTTTTATTAATGTTACAGTCAATCGATGTAAGGTTTGACTTCATAGCGCTTGGGGAGACATGGCTGGGTAGGGATGGGGGGACGGGGTTGGACATAGAGGGGTATAAATTGTATTGTACAACTAGGGGGAAAAATAAAAATGATGGGGTCTTGATGTATGTGAGTGAGAGAGTGAATGTGTGTGAATGCAAGGAACTGGAGCTGGGCGACGTGCATGGACTGACCTTGGACTTTGTCCATCAAGGAACTAGATCTAACGTTCTGACTGTGTACCGTACACATGACAGTGACTTAGACAACTTTACTAACGCTCTTAGACATTACTATGAGAACAAAAATGACTGTAACACATACGTCTTCATGGGTGACACTAACGCCAACTTACTAGAAACTGACTACAAAACTGAACGCTACTTGGACGTTTTTTACGAACATGGTTTTATATGTGGCATAAATACACCTACTAGAGTAGTAGGAAATAGTCAAACAAATATTGACCACATATTTGTAAACCACAATGATTATACTGCCTTACAAACTGCTGTGGTGAGGACGGACATAACTGATCACTACAGTATCTGCCTACAAATAAGTCACAACCCCTACACTAAGGACACGTCACACAACACAAACACTTACATTGACAAAACATCTTTGAGCTTAAACATTAAAGAGTGTGATTGGTCAGATGTCACACACGCGTGTGACGTTAACACATCTACAGACATTCTTTTTGGCAAAATTAAAGATTGTGTAAACAAATCCACAAAACAAAGACCTGTTCTCAAACCGAGGCTGAGGCCTCTCAAACCATGGATCACCCATGACTTAGTACAAATAAGGGATAGGGACAAATTGAGCAAGTTAGTTAGAAGACAACCTTTTAATATGGAATTGATTTCAAAATTTCAAAGAGTTAAAAATGAGTTAAATCAAGATACAAAACTAGCTAAATACAATTACTTCAGAGAAAAACTTTCACATTCAAAAAATAATCCAAAAACATTCTGGAGTACTTTAAACGAATTAGCGGGTAGAGGTAATAAAAAGGACATTTTCCCACTTACACAATTTACAGGAAACAGACTGAACGTTGACAATGACTATAGATTACAGGTAGCCGACGAATTTAATGAGTACTTCACCAACGTTGGTCCCAACTTGGCAGAAAATATAGATTCGGGCGGTTTACCTGTGGTCGATGACACTGACCACTCTGTTGACTCCATCCTCACGCTTCACACTGTCACTGAACAGGAACTGTACACTTACGTCACTAGACTGCGAGGTGGCTCAGCTCCAGGGTATGATTGTGTATCAGCTGAACTACTCAAAGACAACTGGGAGACACTTAAACAACCACTGCTACATATAACTAACACAAGTATCCAAAATGGTATATTCCCTAATGCCTACAAAATTGCCAAGGTAATTCCCCTCTTCAAGTCTGGTGACGTCACCAATATCTCAAATTTTAGGCCAATTTCTTTGCTAAGTGTGTTCACTAAGATTTTAGAAAAAATTATCAAAGATCAAGTTTGTCATTACCTTAATCAGCACGATATTTTGACACCCCGCCAGTTTGGTTTCAGAAAATCAAAAAACATCACAGATGCATTGTTCGAGGTTAATAAAGATATAAATTTGGCCATCAGTAGAGGCAGACGTGTTATTATGGTATTTTTTTACTTGGCCAAGGCTTTTGATTCAGTTGAGAGATCATTTCTTTTAAAAAAATTAGAACTGATAGGTGTTAAAGGCGTGGCTCTAAAATGGTTCCGATCTTATTTTGATGATAGAAAACAGTTTGTAAATATAAATGGAATTGATGGGAATCTTGGTAATGTGGATTTTGGTGTGGTCCAAGGTAGCACGCTAGGGCCTTTACAATTCTTGATATACATTAATAATCTTGTGAAATTGGACATTGAAGGTGAATTTTACCTCTTCGCCGATGACACCTTAGTTTTATTCCAAGGCGAAACTTGGGACTCAGCTTTTGCCAATGCCGAAAGAGGTGTATCGAAAATTAAAAAATGGTTTGATCAGAATATTTTAACGCTAAACGTCACCAAAACAAAATTCATTCCAATTTCCTTAAGAGCTCGAAGTGACACACTTCGCAACGAAATCAAAATTCATTCATGTGGTCAAGATACCGGAAATAACTGTATTTGTCCAGTAATTAATAGAGTTCAAAATTATAAATATCTTGGAGTTGTATTTGATTCGAAATTGTCATGGTCAGATCACGTGTCATTTTTAAACAAAAAGTTAAGAAAGTTGATATTTGCTTTTCGTCAACTACACCAATTCCTTGAAAAAGATGAAATTAAAAATGCATATTTTGCTTATGTACAGTCGCTGCTTGAGGGGGGGATAATTGCCTGGGGTTGTGCTTACAGCAATATTCTACAACCTCTCGTTGTAACACAAAAGGCAATCATAAAAGCGGCACTCGGCAGGTGTAGGCAATACCCTTCTGAAACTCTGTTCACTGAAATGAATGTGCTTGATGTAAGACAGCTTTTCATCAGAACAGTTTCACTGTTTATTTACAAACACCATGAGACACTCTTTGACCGTCCACAACATGACCATAATACTCGACGTGCACTAGGACAAGGTATACGCTTACCCAGACTTACAAAGACATTTTCTACCACTAACTGTTATTACGTTGCACACATAATTTATTCTAACCTTCCACTAGACTTACGAGAATACGACAGGCACTCAATTTCAACGTACAAAAAACACATTGTTCACTGGCTTAATCTCATTGGTAGGGATGGAGCTAATAGTTTATTAGTTTCTATATACAGACAATAGGTTGACAGCTGATACAGGTGTGCGTGAGATTGCTGTGTGCGTGGGAGTGTGTGTGCGTGCGTGTGTGTATGTATGTGCAGTTCTCGATTCTGTGCCACAGGGACAGAGCATTGACGGCCCTAGTACCCTAGGGCTACCAGCCGCTTGTTGGTGTTGGGACGAGGACAGCTGAGTGTATCAGTGTGTGGTAGTGTGGGTGTGTGTGTGTGTGTGTGTGTATGTGGGGGGGAGGGTGGGGGGGGGGGTGATCGGGTTGGTTAGGGGTGGGGTAGGTCATTATGACACTGATAGTTGTTATCTACATGGTAGATTAAAAGTACATAGTGGGCCTAATCTACTATGTCATGACTCCGCTGGCGCTTTGGAGTCTAGCCCGCACAGTAATTATTAGAAGTACAGTACCTGTTTTTTGTTATCAAACCTTCTCAATTCTTTCTAATCAAACATCATACGACTCACTCCCACGCACGGGTTATCCCATGTGGGATTAATTTCGTTTATTTTTAGTTATACATTTTAAAACCTATTTCTATTGCATATATTACATTTTGTAAATATTGTCTATTTTATACGAAATAAAGGATTTTGATTTGATTTGATTTGAACTATATTTACATCATCTACATCATATGTATAGTCTTTGGGAAGTTTGGAATTCACAAGTTTCTTCGAACTAGATGATTGTAGGCCTACAGGTTGAGCAGCAGAGGGAGGAGTTTGGCCTGTGTTACATCTTTCATTACTAGGCCTAGGCTTTGTAAATCTGTTGCCTGTGAATTTTTTACTTGAATTGAATTTCCTGACTCTAGGCATCACTAAACTACAACACTAAGCACTATATACAATAACTAACAGCACAAATTCACCTCTTTTCAAAACCAAAAACACTGATAATCAAATCGAATTCAGAATAACAATATGAACTATTGTTGTTTACTTTTGCACATAAAGGGTGGAGCGCGGGAAATTGCTATTTTGAGTTGCAGGTGGTTGGCAGCACTGTTAGTCAAAAAGAGACGGAAGTGGGCGATGATTGTTGTGACTGACCGGAAGTTTGTCTTCAGCTCATTTTGAGTTGCCATCATGGAGTGGACACGTGAGGAGCGTTCATTTTGTGTTGAAGCATATTTTTCAAATAACTACTCGATAATTGCAGTGCAACGTGCTTTCCGTTTGCGTTTCGCTGTTTCCCCACGCGGACGTGTTCCTGGACGGCAATCAGTTGTGAATTGGGTGAATGCACTCAGGACAGCAGGGAATGTGTCATCTGTACGAAGAGGACCTGCGAGGAGTGTTACAACACCACAAAATATCGAACGAGTTAGAGCAGCAGTATTGCAATCTCCGAAACGCTCTGCTCGGAAGCAAGCACTTGCTCTTGGCATTTCAAGGCGTTCTCTCCACCGGATTTTCCATAGTGAACTGCATTTCCACCCATATAAAATGTGTGTGGTCCAACAATTGTCAGCACGGGATTATTTGACACGACGAACATCTTGTGAAGACATGCTTGCAACCATACCTCGTGACGCAATTGTGTTCTTTTCTGATGAGGCACATTTTCATCTCAGTGGGTGTGTAACCAAGCAAAACATGCGGTACTGGAGTGACACAAACCCCAGAGAAGTTCATCAGAGACCTCTGCATTCGGACCGCGTCACTGTGTGGTGCGCCTTATCACGAGTAGGCATCATTGGCCTTTACTTTTTTCCGGCAACTGTGAATGCCGAACGTTACCTAACTATGCTGCAGGATTTTTTCCATCCAGCACTTGAGGCAATGCAATTAGAGGATACATGGTTTCAACAAGATGGTGCCACTGCACATACAGCGAGAGTTACCATTGATCTTTTGAGGCAAATGTTTCCTGAACGGCTCATCTCTCGCAATGGTGATCTGAACTGGCTGGCACGCTCACCAGACTTAGCTCCATGCGATTTTTTCCTTTGGGGTTACCTGAAGTCCAAGGTGTATTGCAACCGTCCCAAAACCCTGGAAGACCTAAGGAACAATATTGCTGCTGAGATTGCCAGAATACCAGTCTACATGCTTGAAAAAGTGCATTAGAACTTCAGAAAACGTATGCAGCAGTGTGTGGATCGGGAAGGTCAACATTTGCCAGATATAATATTTAAAACAAAATAATTTGTAAATTCCATTACTGTTCAATGTAAGTGAAATATAAAATTAAGTTTCTACATGTTCATAATTTTTTTATTCCACTCCCAAATAAGCAAATTACCGCGCTCCACCCTTTATAAACAAAGCAGAACTGAAACAAATAACAGCTGACTCAGTACAGTAAGTAAGCACTAAAACACGCCCAGGTTGACCAACCTATAACATTGAAAAGGCAAATTGAAAATACAGAGTACATACTATAAAATGCATTTGGATTTTGTGATTGATTTTAAGACTGAAAAAAACGGAGATATACTTCTTTAATATTTTTTTTTTTTCATATGGTAAATAATATTTTTACCTATAGAGTGTTATATATATTCGGAAACAGCATAAAATGGAGAATATTTTACAATAATAAAAAAAAATTCTTTTTTGATCGGGAAACTGCTGACCTCCCCTTAAGGAAAAACAGTAAGTTTTATTATTAATAATTAACCCAAATTTTTGAATTTATTACTATTTGTCCTAAATAAATACAGTATTTAGTGTATTTTTTATACTTTCATAAAAATTGGAATAACTTCTTGATCAGCATTGAACGTGTTATTAAATTACCAAAAAACAAAAAGATAAACGTCTTTACATTTGTAATGATATATTTTAACTTATACTTTTGACTCAAAAAACGGTAAATACGTATAAAAGGTTGTAAGTGGTGATCGATTTCTTTTTGACAGTCCAATAATCATCAGACCCAAAATACGAATGGGTCATTATGTTATATAATGTACTGATGACAATATATTATTATAAAAAATGAACAATGGGCATGACCAACCAGTCCAATGGGCATATTTACCTATTGGGTCTGATGATGATTGGAGTGTACAATCGAAATCGATCACCCCTTACCACCTTATATACGTATTTACCAGTCTTTTGAGTGAACGGTATAAGTGTCAATATATTATTACAGGTGTTACAGGTGTTAATAATTTGGGAGTAAAAATTGGTGACAATATATTATTATAAAAAATGAACAATGGGCATGACCAACCAGTCCAATGGGCATATTTACCTATTGGGTCTGATGATGATTGGAGTGTACAATCGAAATCGATCACCCCTTACCACCTTATATACGTATTTGCCAGTCTTTTGAGTGAACGGTATAAGTGTCAATATATTATTACAGGTGTTACAGGTGTTAATCATTTGGGAGTAAAACCAATTATATTTTGTAATATTATGGATTGCTGTGTAATGGCGAGTTTCTTTGTTTATTAACTCATTTTTTTCGTCAACAGGATCATCCCCAGTATGCCACTTGAGAAGCCACAAACAGAAGTTGAACCCACCTGTTCCAATAACAAAGTGGTGGTAGAAAGCGAAATTAGTGAAGATGTATCTTTGTTGGAATCCGGAGTAGATGATGATCTGACGCAAATGGAAGAATTCGATGAACATGATTCCAGTGTGACGAAAGGCAGTGAGGACCGAATCCAGCTCAACGCATGAAGAAATATAAGTAGTGTGCAAAGGAATAGATGATAGAAATAGTAAAAGCGGGAAGAGAAGAAAGGAGCAAGATTTTGAAAGAATTTGTGGATGCAAAACAGAACCAAGAACAAAAACCATCGAAAGAACATACTGTTGATAATTTTTTCCAGTATGGAAGAAGTGGTTAAGACTTTCCCTCCCAACATCATTGCGGAGGCTAGGATGAAGGTTTGCCAAGTGGTGACGGACCTAGAATATCGGGCAATCCAGCAAACTGCCCCTTGTCCTGCTCTTACCGCTGGCCTACCCAGTTTACACAAAAACTGTGACCATTTCCCCCCCCCCCCAAACATAAGGATTCAAAACATGCATACCCCAGGTCACAGCGACAGCCTGAACTTGATACTGGTTTAGGTCCTAGGTAGGTTAGTTTATATTAAAACTGTACCAGAAAAAGGATGTTTTGGGTCTTAATCTATTTACATTTTTTTTTTGTTTTGAAGGTAAGAGTAAAAAATACACTGGGTTCTCTTCAGTATTTTTATGACTAAATATTTGTTTGGAGTGTATGCCTCTAAAAAAGTTAATGGTTTATAAAACCTTAAAAATCATTTGATTAATATAAATTGTTAGGGGTACAGTTTATTGTTATTTTTAATGAATTCACCTTATCTTTTTTCGATTAAAACATATATTTTTGTAAAAATTATTACCATAAAATGTTATTGAATGTTCGTTTTTTTATGGTGTTTGCAGATCAAGATAATTATTTGGACAGAACTGAAATTCAAGATATATCGAATGATGTATGCTAGTGGACAATGTACTAGAAGAAGAATTGAGTAGAAGAGCATTATTATTAGAATTAGACCTAGATTCCCAAACAGTTATTGGCAGTGTTGTGTGTGACTTTGAAGATAGAGCAGAAGCAAGGCCACACTAAAAAAAATGTTTTTTAGTGTGGCGTTGGTAGAAGAAGCAAATACAAGTCAAAATGAAGAAAATTATTTAAATTCAGCTAATGTTGATGCAGTCGAAATAGTTGAGAAAAAGAAGAGAAGAAAATTTGAAACACCGTTATGTCAACGTAAAAAAGAAAAAGAGATGGGTATTAAAAAAAAACATTGTGTGAAGCCACCATGCAGTAATACATGTAAAAAGAAATGTTTGGAACATTAGTCAAATCATGTCAAATTCGGTTAGTAAGTCCATTAAAGTATGTTCTTTTTACTTAGGCCTAAGTTGTGTAAGTTAGTTATTTTCGGTCTCCGGTAAAAAAAAAAAACCCTCTAAAATAAGTGGCCTCCAGTAAATAGGCAAATAGGTACAACCTAATCTAACCTAAACTAACCGATTTGTAGCGGCTGATAATGAATGACAACGTGGAACGCCCTTTGGCCTCAAAATATTTGTCTGCTCCGAATAAATTGTCTTGCTAGAAAAAAGTTTTTATTTCTAGTCTAAAAACTTAATTGTTATTGAGAGCAGACTATGTTAGACCAGAATGCTTCTATAAGTTAATTATGGTAAAATAAAAGGTGAACAATAATAGACAAATATTTCTTGCTGGTACCTGATTTAAAATAAAAATGTACCGTCGGTATTCTTCCAAGATTTAACTATAATCATAAACGACATGTTGGTGACAAGAACCTTTTGTTTTAAAGCCATTTATACCTACATATTAAGGACACTCAATATATTAAATTTAATCATAGACACTGTAATAGCTTTAGAGAAAAATAAGTAGAGAATAATACCATTATAATAGCCTACTCCCATCACATCGTTAAATGCCACAAGTCGAACAAGTTATAAATAATAACAATGGCGTTAAGCAGAAAGCAAAGAATCAGATCAATGAGGGGAAGGCTCCTACCCCAACATCTGTTGGCTGCTGGCTCTCTCTATTGCTAGGCCAGACGCTAGTCGTAACAACACCTAGTATTCGACGATGGCAGAGTTATTCCACCACTGGTTAATTACCGGGCTATTAAACCCTTGACCTAAAGGCTAGTACTCACTAGGACACCCGGTCGCTTATCAACCGGCGACCTGGTTGACGAGCGACTAAGTTGATGATTGAACGTTTTATTGCTGGGTGGTACACACTAGGATACCTAGCACTTTCAACCAAGCTGGAAATCAATCAAAATTTGGTGGGGATAGACAATTTGTTTTGTTCTGGTTCACGCTTAAGGCTAGTACTCACTAGGACACCCGGTCGCTTATCAACCGGCGATCTGGTTGACGAGCGACCAAATTGCACAAATATCGCCGTGTGTGTACGTGTCTGTCAATTTGGTTGACGGCGATTTGTAGGTTGCCAGGCAACTTTTTGGTTTTCGGACATGTACCGAAAACCTGGGGGTTTCCGATCAACCATTTTATCGCCAGGCAATCAGATTTCTCAAAAAACTAGAGTGAGTACGCTTCAGCGACCAAGTTGATCAACTAAAGACGGCTAGCGCATGCGCAGTACACTGTTTGTGTCAACTGTCAAAACTAAACAGTGCTAGTGGCTAGTGCTAAACGTGGTCTCTTTCAAGCTAGAGGGGTTTATCGATTGTTTGAGTTTATTGTAGACTGCTCAAGTGTTTGTGTTCGTTTGGATGAACGTGTGTACCATGACTGAACATAGTGAAGTCAATGTTGATCAAGACGTGGCGGGCATAACGAACAATCCGGATACATCAACGACTGCGATTGGTCCAATACAACCTGATTCAGTAGATCGTGAGTTTTCCAAACCTTCATTCTTGACACAGTTCATAGAAATGTACCAAAGCCTTCCCTGTTTGTGGCAAGTTTCGTCGAAAGACTATTCGAACAACATTGCAAAGAGAAACGCTTATGATCAGATGACACAACTATGTATCAAAGTGAACCCCAATGCCAACGTAGACTGGGTAAAGAAAAAAATTAAAAGTATTAGAACAGTTTTTCGAAAGGAGGTGAAAAAAGTAGAGGGTTCGAAGAAGTCTGGGGCAGGTGTTGATAGTATTTATGTGCCCAAGTTGTGGTATTATGATAAACTGATGTTTACACTGGACGAGACTGTTCCTAGACAATCGCTATCTAGCATTGAGATTGAGGCTGAACCCGACCCGGATGATCCAAGCACACCTGTTGACCCTTCAACAAATGAAGAAAATGGTGCAACTGAAGCAGAACCGGTAAGAGTATTATACATAATTTTTTTTTTATCCCAGAAACCTTGGTAACAGTAAATGCCAAAAACAGAATATGCATATATTTTCGTATAAAATGCATATTTTGTTCTAAACTTAATTTTATCAAAGACTAGTCATAGTTATGTATACATAACGTTTTTCACTGACAGAGTACTTGGTTTAGTAGAATGGAATCATTTCCATTTTACGACAGCATTGTTGTCGGTCTTATCTTATCTGTCTAGAGGGATAAATGTTTGCTGTAGTGTAGCCTGGATCGGCAAAAAAAAACAATTCTAAATTAAAACTAACTGCTCCATCAGCTTTACATTTGCTGTAGTTATTCTAAAATTTTGGGTATTTTCTCTAAACTGATATAGCGTGTGATTAAAAACCTTTATTTCCTACAAAAAGTTTCAATAAGTTATAGAAGTGTAAATGAGGAAAATAGAGTTGTGTACATGAAACGGATGTTGAACCTAGCTTTCCATAGCCCGATTTGTTCTGGGCATCACAATTATAGTCATGAAAGTTGCTGGATATGTTTCAAATTAAAATATTACCTGTTTTTAAGAATAGACACCTGGTTTAGTTAACATTGAAAATATATAATAGGGTGTTAAAAAAAGGTGGGGGACATAATTTGCGTAGTGATTTCTTGGATCAAAATGAAATGAAAAAGGAGAATAGCATTATTTCCAAGAATTACGTCCCCACCTTTTTTGAGCACCCAATGTATTTGTTTACCAGTCAAGCAATCAAGTCTGCACCATTTGGTGTGCATGTATCCAGATCTGAGTTTAGTAGGCCTAACTAGTTATAGATAGATTTTTGTGGAAAGGTTTTAAAATAACAAAAGTAATATACACTTTGCAAACTGTTTTACTAGTACAAATAATCTTTTCGTAACACTGTGAAAACATTACACGGACAGATAATACTAAAATGTCACAGTTTTCTTTCAACGATACCGTTCAAACATGTTACCAAACCTTGTTCAATCGTTAAATCATATCATTTTGCCAACTCACTGATCCTCGTTTTCCGTTGAAGTAACGAACGTACTTTGCTCGGTTAACCTTTGCGGAGCTGCAGATATTCGAACCTCTCATTTCCAAACCAACGTAAGCTTCTTCGTCTGCCCTCCACCCACCAGGCGTGACGATACGACTGTCTGCATCTTCATCATCTATTGCGCTTGTAGGTAGATAATCACTTCTTGCTCTAACAGACAAGAAATTATGGAGCATGCAGCAGGCCAATACAACTAGATCAATCTTCCATGGGCTTAGCTTGATAGCGGTGTGAAAAATACGAAATCGGTTACTCAAAATGCCAAATGCATTTTCAACCACCCTTCTCTAGACACTCTATAGTTGTATATCTTTCTTCTTTTAGTTGTCAAACATCTTCTTGGAAATGGTTTGACCAAGTTCTTGTGTAGAGCAAAGGCGTCATCACCAACAAAAACAAAGTTCAAGTTTTCCTTTGTTATGTCATTACAAGGCAAATTTAACTGTTCTTCCTTAAGTTTTCTTCCAAACTCAGTGCTGTCCAGGACACCTCCATCTGATATTCGCCCATTGGTACCAACATCTACCATTATAAATTCGTACCTAGCGTTGACCAAAGCCAGTAAAACTACACTATGATACCCTTTGTAGTTGTAATAGTACGATCCACTATCATGAGGAGCAACTATCCGAATATGCTTCCCGTCGATACTGCCTCCACAGTTAGGAAAATTCCAAAGTTCGTCAAAATCATGTGCGATCGACATCCACTCTTCCTTTGTTTGAGGAAACTGCAATAAAAAATAGGCTTTTAACGAGGATTAACGTTATTGTTGTGGCATATTATTTAAACTGATTTTGAACACTCACAAGAACGAGATGAATGAAAACTAATAATTGGCAAACAATTACGTTCGTAGTACTGTACGTGTAAAAAAGTACTATACAAATATAAAGTATGGAACAGTGATTATACATATAATAATACAGGGTGAGTTTTAACTGTCCCCTCCAACTTTTTTCTACATTTTTTTTAGATACCAATCCCAGACCACTTTAACAAATTGTTGGGTAGTGTGTATTTCATTTTGACAAGATGGTAATTTCCAGCCGCCATCTTGGATAGTAATAATTAAAACTAACCCTGTATATTATTGTACATATAAAAATGGAAAAGTTTCTATAAAGAAGTAAATCCTAAAACTAAGTGTCCTAAAAAGTAGAGTTGTACATGTTTGTATCTGTTGTATGTGTTTAATGTTCACTTGTTTACACGTATATACAGATATGCGCTTAACTACACGTTTTAAAATACGACGATTTGTATTATTTTTATTTTTATATTAACAGCCTAAAATTTTAAAATATTTCTCCTTACAATCTGTATGTAGACTTCAATAAAATTAAATTGATTCTTAAAATATTTAGACGGTAGGCTATTTTTTTATAATACCACTATCTGTGGTGATGTTGTTTTGACTATTTAAACAAATATTTTTAGCTTTATTATGTTTTTCAGACCAAAATACAAGAGGACATCGAGACACGAAAGTGTTCAGGATTGAAGCCAGCAGGAAAAAAAAGACAACAGAAGATCAATGATGCTATTGAAAAGAAGCGTTTGCAGCAGCAGGAAGAGGCTCTTGGTTTGGCTATGGACGTTTTAAAGAAACCCAAGACGAGTGATATGGACGAGTTCTCTGCAATTGGGTTTACTGTATCAAATAAACTGAAAAATATGGAGAACGGTCAGAGGTTGTTATCAGAGCTCCTGATCAACAAAGTGCTTTATTTTGGCATGACGGGCCAGCTGACTGAAAGCACCGATGTATCACTGAACAAACAAGCCTATGGTAATTTCGAAAGGGTCAATTATGGAGATAATCGTCGAGGCGATTTCCACAGAGGATTCAGCCACAGCCCTTCGCCATCATCCTACTTGTCTGCAGGCTCATCTTACTTGTCTTCAGGGTCAGCAAACCCACTACCCTCTGATACAGACAGCGAGCTTGGCACGTATTGGAATATGCAGTAAATGTCGGCCGTTTTAGTTTTATAATTCAGGTTTATTGCCTTTATTATAGATTATTTTTATACTAGGCCACGTGTACTTTTCATTCGTCACTAAAGATTGTCCGTTTGAATTAATTTGGATAAAGCGTTGTTTGATCTAGTGTGGGTAGTGTGTGTTAAAATTAATGTCATTAAACTTATCCTAGGACCTTATATCAGTTTTGGAGTAAGCAAAGTTATGATTTTCAATATCTTACGTACATGAAATATAAGTTATTATAAGAGAACATTGTTTTGTTTTTGGAGTAAGCAAACTTATGATTTTCAATATCTTACATACATAAAATATAAGTTATTATAAGAGAACATTGTTTTGTTTTTGGAGTAAGCAAACTTATGATTTTCAATATCTTACATACATAAAATATAAGTTATTATAAGAGAACATTGTTTTGTGTTTTGAGTAAGTCTAACTTATGTTTTTTTTCAATCTTACATGCATAAAACATAAGTTATTTCAAGGGAACTTTGTTTAGTTTTTGAAGTAAGCCTAACTTATGTTTTTTTAATACCTTACATACATAAATGTCAATTATAAATTCATCTTTCCTTTCCAATAAATGTTTTATTAGTTTAAAAAATCCTTTCATTGCCCTATAAAAAAACCTTGAGACGCAATGTTTTTGGCTCAGTGAAATTGGTTCAATAACTTTTTAAAGTATATAATATGATAATAATTATTTAAAGTTCTCTGAACTCTTAAAAATGGTTAAGTTTTTTCAGGTAGAGTAATTATCGATAATGGAAATTAAAATTTATCAAGATAAAACATCGTTAAAGAATAAAGATTTTTTAGTGGGACCTACCCTTATGAAAATACAAGTTTTGTAAATCTACTTATTACAGTACCTTCATGTAAGTATCCCGCAGCACACTGATTATAGCATTGCAGGTTTCTGGTATGATCTCTCCTAGTATTTGTTTAGACATCCCAGTTGAATATTGCAGATCTTGTATACTGCGTCCAGTCGCTAGATATCGAAGTGTTGCTACGAGTCTTTCTTCGGCGGGGATTGCCTGTCTCAATCGGGTGTCCTTTTTTTCAATATGAGGCGTCACCAATTGCAAAATGTGACGGAAATTTTCGTCTGACATCCTCAAATAATTCTTATAATCCTGAGGATTATCATCTCGCAAAGTTCGTAGAAGTGCCATGTGGCTGTAACTTTGTCTACGTTGAAGCCACCCTTTACTCCAAAATCTTTTTAGCAATTTCTTCCTTCTTCTATGGTTACTACAATTAATTAGGATTATAACTGCGGCAGCAATCTCTTCTTCGTATGTGGGCATGTTGTCACAACACACAGGTAAGTGCAACTAGAGCTCAAACCAGATTCCAGGACCAAACACAGTCCATCCCCACCAAATTTTGATTTCCTGCTCGGTTGAAAGTGCTAGGTATCCTAGTGTGTACTCCCCGGCAATAAAACGTTCAATCATCAACTTAGTCGCTCGTCAACCAGGTCGCCGGTTGATAAGCGACCGGGTGTCCTAGTGAGTACTAGCCTTTAAGCCTATCAAAGTGTGAACCTCAATGACAACACCATGCCCCCGACGGAGAGGAAATAGCTGCCGAAGTTTTGATTATATTAAAAACTGTGGGAAGTAGAGAAGAAGAAAGAAATTGTTTAGAAGATTTTGGGTTAAAGGTTGGCTTTAAAGTAGAAATAGTTACAGCCAGCCACATTGGCACTCCTACGAGCTTTTCGACTTAAAATCCTCAAGATTTTAAGAACTATTTACTTATTTCAGATGACAGTTTCCGTCATACTAAGCAACCAGTGACACCCGTGACACCTCACATAGAAAAAAAAGGACGTCAGATTGAGATTTTAGCATGGTTTTGTTTCGTCAGTTCATTTTTCGTTGTACTGCGCATGCGCTAGCCGTCTTTAGTTGATCAACTTGGTCGCTGAAGCGTACACACTCTAGTTTTTTGAGAAATCTGATTGCCTGGCGATAAAATGGTTGATCGGAAACCCCCAGGTTTTCGATTCATGTCCGAAAACCAAAAAGTTGCCTGGCAACCTACAAATCGCCGTCAACCAAATTGACAGACACGTACACACACGGCGATATTTGTGCAATTTGGTCGCTCGTCAACCAGATCGCCGGTTGATAAGCGACCGGGTGTCCTAGTGAGTACTAGCCTTACGCCGCTTACACACTGGGCGGTTTCTGCCGCGGCGGTAATTTCGCCGTCGCCGCCGTTCGAGCAGTAGTCTATAGACTTAAATGGAAGCTTACACACTGGGCGGCAGGAACGCCGCGCGGCCATATTGCCGTTGGCGGCAGCTGTGCAGCCGTCCACTGCCACTGCGGCGGGCGGTTTTTCTGCCGCCTTCGGGCACGCAGTGGCGTACGTGACCAAATGCATGTTTACACACTTGGCGGTGTTTTTGCCGTAGCCGCCAGTCCCCAGTCCACCTTTGAGCTGGTTCCACAGACGTGTTTTATTTAAGTTGGTCCGTGTTTTCCGTTGAAAATGAGTGAAAGTGAAATGGGTGATGAAAATGATAGTAGTCGGAGTGGATTAATTGACAATGATTTATTAATAACTTTAGTTGAACAAAGGCCAGTGTTGTGGGACAAAACTCTGGACGCGTTTAAGGATCGTGATGCCACCAGAAAGGCATGGTGTGAAGTTTGCAAAGAACTAAGAAGCGATTTTCCTGACTTGGATGACAAAGAGAAAAATTCATATGGTGAGTAAAACTATGTACTATTTATATTTAACATTGTGTTGTTCCCATGAACTAAGAAACAATAAAATATTATAATCTGTCAGTCATATAAAATAATATATAAAAACGTGCCGTTGTATGGAAGGCAGACAAGCTGACTTCATATCTTCGACATCTGCCAGGGAACACTTCCAAAACTTGAAACAAAGTATTTGCACATTATGTCCCTCACATTGTTTGCCGATAGACCTCCTCGTGATGTCCTCTCCTCTCGAATGTCTTCCAACCCAGTGATTGACATAGTGTCCTCAATTAAATACCCATCTCTGTCTCGTACGTAATTGTGAAGAACAACATATGCCTTGACGATATCCGTTGCAAACTCTGGCTGTACATTGATTGGTCTATGGAATATCCGCCACTTGTTGCTAAGTATACCAAATGTACACTCTATATATCTACGTGCTCTGCACAATCTGTAGTTGAATATACGTTTTTCAACAGTTAGATGGGTACCTGCGTATGGTCTTAATAAGTTTCTGTGGAGACCAAAAGCTGCATCAGCCAAAAAAAATAAGGCACCTTAGGACTTGTAGTTGATGGTAAACATTTCTCATCTGGCATATTTAGTGATTTGTTATCTATTGATCTCCATAACTGAGTCTGTTTAAAAATAGAAGAATCACAATCCTTTCCATAGCTTCCAATATGAACGTAAGTAAACCTATATTTGGAATCAGCTATACCCATCAATACAATCGAGTGATAGTCTTTGTAGTTAAAATACATTGACCCACTTTCAAAAGGTGCTACCAAACGGATGTGTTTTCCGTCCACAGCTCCAATACAATGTGGAAAATTTGCTGCTGATTGGAATCCACTGGCTATTTCCTCGAAATATTCTTTTGTAAGAGGTGGCATACATAGTGGTTTCATTACTAGCCATATAGCTAGACACACCTCCTTAACAATCTTTCTTATAGTAGATATTCCCAGTCTGTACGTATAATGCAGATCGGTAAAAGTACATCCTGATGCCAAATACCTGCAAAATAAAACGTAATTAATTTACATAAAATATAGACAGACAGACGCTAAACGTAATTTTCCAATATGGCCGCCAAAATTAAAATTTCAAATGTAAACACCCACTTTTTATAATTGTTTCTTGGTTAGTATAATAAATTTAGGGAAAAATGTCAATCATAACAAAGTCTTAGAATTGCCAGAAACATTAGAAACAATTATAAAAAGTGGGTGTTTACATCATTATATATATATATATATATATATATATATATATATATATATATACATATATATATACATATAAATATATACATATATATATATACATAAGTTATATAAGTATTAGAAATTTTGTTTTTTGTTTCAGGAAAGGAGGTTTTAAAGAGATGGAAGAATTTACGTGATTCTTTTGCAAAATCGGAAAAGAAAATGAAAGAATGTAAGGCAAGTGGTAGTAAAGCTACCAAAAAAAGGAAATATATATTCACGAACGAAATGCAATTTCTGAAGAAGGTATACTCTGCAAGGGAGGTAACCGACAGCCACGACAATGAAGAATGCGTCATTGAAGACGGTAAAGATAATGATAAGGACAAAATTGACCCTCCGGCAGCAAGTGAGAAGAGAGCCCCCACCACTAGAAAACATAAAAAAATGGACGAAGTAGATATAAAAATCATACAAGCACTTGATACTCCAAAAGATAAGCCCAACAGTTCGATGTTATTTTTTGAAAGTCTTCTTCCGATGATCGAAAATTTTAACAGAGACGAACATATTCAACTACAAATTGGTTTTCTAAATGTTATATCAAACATTGCCAAAAACCAAACACAAGTTTTTCCGCACCAAGGCCAGCCAACACCAGTTGTACAACAACCCGCGCCTTACTACCAACAACCTTACAATGTTCCTGGTACTTCACAACTTCAGTATTATCAACCTCCTACAGTACCTTATACCACAAGTCAAACGAACCTGTTTCCCATACCACCGACCCCAGTAACAAACTTTCCCCGCACTGCTACTTCCATTCCTGAAGAACGGATCAATGTTCGTCAGTTTGTTGAAAATTTTAGTTCAGTGGAAGATAACCTCGAGAGAAGTTCCTCAGCCAACACGGATACGTCATCCCTCGATATGGATTTATATCCAATGTGAACAATATAACAGTACTATGTATTAACAATGTACTTATGTTTGTTTTTTAATAGATTTTCTTGTCTGACTCAGTTGTTTTGTTTCAACT